AATTGTGATTTATCTAGTTACTTGGATTGGTTTGGTGCTTCTGTTACTGTTGGCATTCAAATAAACATTCAACAGAGTTTGCGTTTAATTTAAAGCAGTTGTATACGGAATAACGAACACTGGAAGCTACAAACTGGTGTTGGAAATATAGATGTCATTAATGTTATAACATTGATGCCGGTAGTTACAAACGTCAAAGAATACAACATTAGGTTATTAAATTTTAAAATCTATATATCGTTATATAAAATGTTAAAAAAGTATGAAAGACTACCGAAAGTTACTAATATACTTTCGAGTCTCGAGTTATGTTTAAATCACCACTTTTTGTAGTTTTTTAAGTATGGTTCAGTTGTAAATAAAATATTATGTTAACTATTTCATTTGGTTTTTTACCTAAGTTAAGGAAACTCCGTTATCAACACAATATTTTTAAGGCGTTACGAAGTAGACTGGTTCAGTTAGTTAAGTGAGCCGAAGAAAAATGTAACAGTTTTAGTTTTGCTGATATTCTCTTTTTACTGTTGGTAAGAATGTTTTTATTTTAAAATATGCATCATTCGCCACAGTTATCCTTTGTTTGATATCCACATCACATTTACAAACTAAGGTAATTAGATTTCCGAGATAAGTGAAGCTGTTGACTTGTTTCACCTGTTTAACATTAATGTTTATGGAGCAGATTGGGGCGGTTTTCTGTTACTGATAACCATGCACTCTATTTTGTTGATGTTAATTCCGCTATAAGAGCTGTATCATCAGCATATCTTACATTGTTTATATTCACGCCGCCAGTGGATATTCCAGGTAGATCGTCTATCTTTCTTATGATGATTTCATTATAGTGATTGTACGAGTCTGGAGAAAATGCAAAGCCTTGCCTAACACCTTTTTTATTTCGATAAAACCAACCAACTTCCATCGCTCCTTTTTTCTCTAAGATTACTTTACCGGAATTAGCTTTTATGCAACCAGAAACGGTACAAGCCCTTTATCCAGTGGTCTCTTTAATGTTTTCATATATTGCTTATTTTTACTGTTTTTGATATTTTCAATGATTTCGCACATGTCATTTAACCATTTTTTTACCTCTAAGCCCAATTTTTTGATTATTTTGTCTAACTATCATGATTGCTGCCTTTCACTTTTCTTAGTTCATTCATCAGAGATACGATGTCATCTGTTATCAATTTTTGGCCTCTTCTTTGCTCTTTCATAGATATAACTTCTTTTGCTAATTATGTGAGGGCATCTCTAAATATTTTATATTTAGATTTATTTACTTCTTCCATCAATAAATGAAACGATTCCATACTTCAACATTATTTTTGATCATGATCTCATCATTTTGTGACAGATTGACAAATTTCAAACGTCTTTGGGCCACTTCACTTTACTTTATTTTGATTTTACAAACAACTGGGTTACTGCATAGTCAATTTCAGAGTAACTTTTGCATTGTAAAACATAATCCTATTGCTTTAAACTAATGGCCGATTGAACACACCAAAAGTTGAAACTACAGACAGATTGTTATATAACCTTGTATCGTGTGTATGCGGCTGTAACCGAACATAGCCTCTAACAATATCGACCTGAAAAATTTATTATTACAAAAAACATTCCAATGATCGAATGAACCACCGAAAGTATTATTTTCAATTATCGGGAAAAATGTCATTGGGTGAATATTTCAATGATGGGACAAATCATTCAAAATATTTTTTTTATTTTCGGGCGAGAAAGTAATTGGGTAAATCTTCCACTTTAACTTTGAAGATATAACTTTCAACGTTTTTCTTCATTAACTGTTACTTAAAGCAAAATAGTTTATATTTTTTAAAAAATAGGCCCTGCTGAACAAAAAATTGTTACATCGAGCATTCATTGAACAATTTTAAAGACAAAGACATTTTTTTTCCAATCATTTATTTAGTAAAAAGAAAATCACCAGGAGATCTAAAAGAAAAATAACTTGTGCAGACCACCTTAATTAAAATGTAACTGAATGAATGTCATAACAAAAACAAATGAAAAATTTCAAATGATTAATTCAAATTGAAAAATTAAAATTTTCAACGTTTCTGCAATTGTCTAAAACATTTATATAATAGTAAAAAATCAAAGTAATATCACGAGTATAAAATAATAATAACTAATTAAGTTTACAGAACACTTTCGAGAATTTTTTTCTTGGCTGTCTTTTTAAATGAGGCAATGGAAGAGAACTGTGAATTATGGAAACCAAATTCATTCCACATTTTAACACCTCGTATGAACCAGAATTTATCATTTAATCCTGTCCTAATTTAAGCAAATTTTCAGTAAGCGTTTTTGTGCTATTTGTAATTTATTATTTAAATATTTACAGCTGTAGCCCCAGAACAGATTACCATATATGAGGTACGGATAAAAAAAATGAATAATAAAGAATAATCATTGAAGTTTGGTCAAGTTTATTACGTGCTCAATAAATCACGCCAATGACTCTGTGTAACTTACTGATAACCAAGTTGACGTGTTCATCCCATTTCAAATCACTTTGGATGATAATTCCAAGGAATCTGACAGACGACACTCTTGGAAGAACGTTTTCGCCAAGATATATTTTTATATTGTTAAAAATAACGTCATTTGTTTTTATCTTAGGACCAAACACTATGAAGCAAGATTTTTTTATATTCAATGTTAATTTATTGAATTCAAACCATTCCATGAATTTATTTAGTTCATGATTCATATTTGAAAATAGGTCAATTTGGATTATCTCCAGATAAAAGTATGTTAGTATCATCTGCGTATAATATGGTTTTGCATATGTTGGATACTAAAAATATATCATTGACAAATATTATAAATAGAAGCGGTCCTAGAATCGAGCCTTGTGGAACTCCAGTTTGAATAATACCAGGATGGGAGTTGAAATCATCTATAGAGGTATATTGCGTTCTTGACATTAAATAAGATTCAAACCAGTTGAAAATAGGACCTCGAATGCCATAGATCTTTAATTTTGACAACATTAGTGGATGATCAATGACATCAAATGCTTTTTTGAGGTCTATGAAGATACCTAAAGTAAAATTTTTGAGTTCGAAATTATTGAGGAGCGAAATGTGTAGTTCTGCAATTGCATCTTCAGTTGATGATTTAGGAATGAAACCGTATTGTTGTTTATGAATTAAATTGAATTTTATCAAAAAACTCCTAACCTGTTAAACATTAGTTTTTCAAAGATTTTAGAAAATATAGGGAGTATAGATATTGGTCGATAATTTTCAAATAGTTTCGGATCACCACTTTTGAAGTTTGGCAGAACCTTAGCAATCTTCATGCTACTGGGAAATTTTTCCACTTTGATTTATTAAATAATATTGCTAAAGGTCTAGCTATATTGCTAAAAGTCCGTTTTATTAAGTTGGATGACAAGAAGTTGCAATCGAGAGTGTTGCTGGTTTTAAGTTTCTTAACAATTAATATTATTTCATCAGGTGTTGCGTCTTCAATGTACATAGAGGAAACACATGATTCAATTTTTTCAAAAATAGCTTCGTTTGCAAAGTTTTTTCTGTTTTCATTCAAGTTTTTACCTTGTTCAATAAAAAATCTGTTAATGCCATTAACAATATCCATTTTACCATTCTTGTTTGAAACTGCTTGAAATAAATTAAATTTATTTTTACTAGTTCCTATAATCTCATTGATGATCTTCCATTTAGTTCTAGCACAGTTGCAGTGTTTAAATTTTTTAGCGTAAAAATTTTTTATTGTACACCTTTTTAATTTAATAAAATCATTTTTTGATTTAGTATATATTATTTTGTTATCTGTTGTTGGGTTTTGAAGGTAATTGATATATAATTTGTTTTTATTCTTATAAAGTTTATAGAGATTAATATCCATCCAGGGCTTTCTGAAACGATTTTTCTTGTTTAGAAGAGGGCATGTATGGTCTATGATGTCCATATACTTCATTAAGAAGATGTCGTATTCTGTATCTAAATCAAGGTCATGTTGTGTATCTGGCCATTGAAATTTTGCCAGTTTATCATTTGCTTGAGCTATGTTATCCGAGTTGATTATTCTAGTTTTTATGCTGTTGCGTTTGGAAGTATTAGGTAAGTTATCTGGAAGGCACAGAAAAATTAGAAGGTGATCAGAGATATCTTCCAGTAGTATACCTTTAGTGAAAACATTACATTAGTGAAGATGTTGTCAATAATAGATGAAGTTGAATCAGTAATTCTGGTAGGTTGATTTATAATAGGATGTAAATCAAATCCTGCAAAAAGATCTAAAAACGTTCGTATGTTGCTGTTGGTGTTGTCTAAGTTTATGTTGAAATCGCAAACAATGAAAACATCAAAATTAGAAGCCATAGGAAAAAAATTGTTTAGAAATTCATTAATTTCATTTAAAAAATCTTCCAGTTTACCTCCTGTATAGTAACATGTTCTGGTGTTGCAGATTATTTTGACTTCACTCCATTCAAAGACATTAAAATCATGGCTGACATTATCTAAAACTTCATAGATTATTTTATTTTTTACTAGAAATCCTGTTCCGCCACCTTTTCTGTAGGATCTATTGTTGAAAAAAAAATTGTGATCAGGAAAAGTAACTTTCAAAAAGTTATAATTTTCGTTATCGCTTAACCAAGTTTCGCTCAGGCATACTATATGATTTATTAATTGGAAGTTATTTACAAGCTGAGATATTTCAAAAGTGTGTGCAATCAAGCTTCTGCAATTAATATGAATGAGGAGAAAATTGTATGAGCCATTACGTTTACATTGCAACAATGATTCAAGCTGATCGACAGTGAAATATTCGGAAGTTAGACTGAATAAATTACAATCATTATTTAAATCAACGTCATAGTTCGAAATCAAGTTTAACGAGCAGTTATTTCTGTCAAATGAAAAATTATGAGAAAATAACGTATTACTTTCTTCAAATATCTCATCATTATTCTGTTTATTTTCAAGAAAATCAGCTAGTCAAATATCTGATTTGCTGACGCCGCTGTTTTCTTCGGTGTTGTTAACATCTTTCATTGCAGATGCATTTGTCGTGGCATTGGGCAGAGTGTTCGAAGAGTTGGTGTTATCTTTATTGAAGATCCATTCACGAACGACAACTGAGGCAGGCCAGTTTGATGCAGTCATCACCTTGCCATACTCCTCGGCCGGGACACACAATCTGAATGAGGAGTATTTTATGTCATCATCATTTTCCACAAGTTTAGAGGCCAGATTACAGGAAATCAAATTGATTCCCCTGTTTTCACAGTGTTTTTCGATTATGAAACTGTCAAGTAGTTTGACATTCCCAATGTCGAAAATTTTTTTTTAATAATGGATTTAGATGCCGTGAAGAGGGGGCTAGTTGTGAGTGATCCCAAAATCTTTGAGGGTTTGTGAGATTTATTTTTATTGATATTTCCTTCAGCTTTTTTAGCAATTTGACTTTTTTCTTACTGCGCTGAACGAGTGTCATACGATCGTCAGAAACATTATCGCCAGAATGTAATTCACAACCAGGTTTTTTTGTTTTTGACACTAAAATATTTGACCATGAAGTATCGACTATTTCATTTTTAATACGATTAACATTTGTATCGTAAACATTACACGTAGCAAGATTTGTGCGAGAGTTTGTATCATGTGCGATACTTGAAACAGTATTTAACTGTTAATTTGTTTGCCAGCGATTTATTTGTGTCCAGTATTTCATTCAGCACGGCGGCCATTTTGCCGTTTTTCTCATTTATTGCCTGCAACATATTATTCGACATCAAATCAGGTATTTTTTTAATATTTAAAATCACAAATGTTGGCAAATGTTGACAAAGATCATTTGTCGACATATATTTTATCAAATCAACAATATCAAGCATTATATCAAACTTGGTATTGCCACGCTGTTTGGTTGAAGCTTTTTCTTTTCTTTCTTTTTTTATATTATCCAATTCAGAATTTATTGTTTTTTAGCATCAAATAATTCTTCATGACTATAAAAATTTGAAACATTATTTTGAAACTTTTTATCGTCTAATTTATTCATGTTGTCCAGAAAATACCATAGAACCTCTGATACAAATAATTTTTTAGAAGCCATAATTTTAAAAACATATACATGTACATGTACAATGTGTACAACATCCTAGCAAATGTTAGAAACAAGAAGCTAACATTAATACATAATAATTAAAATTGAATTAAAAAATAATTTTTTTTTTATAATCACAGAAAAGTGCACACACATATCCCACATCATAAGTCCATGTTAGTAAGGCCGGATTAACCGATTGGCAAGCAGGGCGTGAAAGCTCTTTCGCCTTGCCCGTGTTTTCCGACTCAAAAATAAACAACTGAAGAGGCGAGTCCCGACCCAAGCGAGATTGCCTAGGCTGGCGGTGGCGTTTGTTGGTGCCCAAGGAAGGGGCGGTTTCCACTGCGCCGCAAAAGTTCACAATTGGCGTCCAAAGTGGGGCCTCTTCAAAAGTTTTAAGTGACAGGTGCAGCGAAAGTCAAAGCGGTGTTGCTTCTCAAATTTTAGGTGACGGGTACATTGCCGGTCGAATTAAATTTTTCTTCCAAATTTTTAGGTGACGAATATATCACAGGTCAAAGTAAAATTGTTTTTCCCAAATTTTTAGGTGACCAAAGTGAAATTCAATTTTTAATTCACAATTCTAATTTACAAATTTTTAGGTGACAGGTACGATAGGAGCCGTAACGAAACTTTCCTAAATTTTTTAGTTGACAGGGCTGGTTCTACGGAAAATATTTTAGAATCTAGGTATCGAGTAGGCCAACAGTTGTACCGGAGGCAATTGTTTGTAAAACTTTTCCAGGTTTTTTGGGTGAAGGGTTTAATCATGAGCAGAGTTTTAAGTCAGCGGAATCCGTGCCAGAACAAGTTTCACAGGTTTATAAGTCTACGCCAGCCCAAAGGCCGTCGATTATTCGAGAATGTGATAATATTTTAAATTACAGGAATAGATGCAGAATGGTTTAAAAGGATAAAGCAGTTGAACACAACCTTTCGTCCAGCGACCATGAGGAGCCACTTCATCGTCAGCGGTGTGTAAATACCGAACATCACAGGTTGGTCCGACATCATGAGCTGTTGAAACCAGGCAGGTTTGATGGCGCCGGGTGTCTCAAAATTTTTCTTAGAAGGATCGAGATATGTACTAGATATAACCAATGGAGTTTAAACGACATGGAAGCGTATTTATCTTGTTCGTTAACCGATGAAGCTGCAGAATTTCTTAGGAACATAGCAGGACTAGGTTATCGAAAATTGGTAAAAAAGCTAGAAAACCGTTATGGAACTAGTAGTCACGATAAGTTGTATAGATATGAGTAGCACACTCTTCAACGCAAACTGGGTGATTCGCTTCGTGGATTATCACAAACAGTAAAAAATTTAACGTCGTTGGCTTACCCGAGCGAACAGTCAAAGTTGGCGATACATTTGACAAAAGATTTTTTATCAGCTCTCAGTGACACCAATTTAGAACTAAAAGTTAGAAAGAGAACCTAGAGATATTGATAATTAGTTAAGAATTGCACAGCGCCTTGAAGTTTCCAAAAATTTAGTAAATTCATCTTACAGGTTTATCCCAGAGGTTAGGGATATGCAAGATACAACAGAAGACAGGATGAAAGCAGTGAAGCGGCAAATGAACTTGCTTTGACAATCGCTTGACGTCTTTGGAGACCATAGGGTACAGCCAACTGTTACTCAGGTCAGGGTGAGAAAGTTTGTTTTGGTTGTGGAAAACCAGGCATTTAGCTTCCAAATGCTCTCAGTAAAGAATGCCAAACAAGTTTCAGTCAGGCAATCAAAAGGGCCAGAATAACTGTTACAGGTGCGGAAAATCAGGCTATTTCAAAAAAAGAATGTCCAGAGAAAGAAAAATTGAATAAACGGTCTGAACGCATAAATAAAGCGAATAAAAATGACGACCGATCTCTGTATATAGCAAAAAGCAAAAAGACTAAAATTAGGTACATCCAATTACTTTAATGGAATATTCACTCTTTTCAAATTTGTTTTAAACCAAAAAATAAACAATAACTTAGTACAAACATTTAATAAGAAACACAATCACAGATTTAACAGAATTTTCATTTTCATTGAATTTTTTTAACTTTCGACTTCTATTTCGAGGAAGCTTCAGTCGCTGGCCAGGGCGCTTTTTCATGTGACAATATCATTACTGTTATTATGACATAGAACCAATATAGCAATTTTTGTAAAATCACAAGTTTTGTTGATCCAGCTTTCATAAATAACAAGTCAATTTTATTGTAATCAACAATTAAAAATTTAAAAATGAAAGAATTGAAAGTTACTCTAACTAACTTTGATAGAATAATAAAGATTAACAAAATTGGCTGAAAAAATGTTGGATCTAATTTGAATCGTTCAGTTTAATTAAACAATTTACCTAATATCCATTCAAAAGGTTGTGAGGATAAATTTTTGGAAAATATTCAGATATTAGATAAATATTTGTAATATTTAGATATTAGATAAATATTTATAACTAAATTGCTAAACCTTCCTCAAAATAATCAATTATAACTTAGAAAGAAAACTGTTTGTAGAGATGAATGTGAAAAAAAAAGCTGAAAATTCATTTGAAATAGATATTTTTAATACAATATTTCACTGTTATATTTCTTAATATAGAGTTCTTTATTACAGGTAAACAAGTAGCATTGGCAAAAGACATTTCATCATTTGCTATATTCATCTAAAACTTTTAGCCAATCAATCAATTAATCAATCAATCAGTCAATCAATTAATAAATCAATTAATCAATCAACCAATTAGTTTATAAGCGCAATTTTTGCGATGTTCAACAGCGCTCTTCAATGAATTTTGCAAACAGATGGGTCTTGAGATCCGCTCTGAACTTCGCAAGTGATGAAGAAGCAGTTAGAAAAGGAGGTAGAAAGTTCCAGAGAAAAGAAAAGGGCTAGAAAAATCTAATGCAGATTTAGCAAAAGAGTTAAGAAGTAAGAACAAAAAGACGATCGCAAACCGAGGCGTTTAGGCTCAATTAATATATCTGATAAGTAGTTAGAAAATAATTTAGATTGAGACTTATACATAAATGTGCAAATTTGTAAAATTATTCTATATTTTATAGGTGGCCAGTGCAAGAGAACAAGATATGAAGATATATGAGAAAAGAAAAAGGCACGAACAACTAGAAGAGCAGCAGAGTTAAAAGCTTTACTTAAAGAATAGAGTGTAGAATCAGGAAGGCCATAGTAGGGCGAGTTACAATAATCAATCCTAGATAAGACTAACGAAGTAACAAGAAAGAAAAGAGTATGATCGTCAAGAAAAGGCAAAAGTTTTTTATTCCACGTAGATGAAAGTAAGAGCTTCTAGCAACACTATTAATCTGAGAAGAAAAGATGTACTAGAATCAAAGATAAAGCCTAGACTACGAAACTTGTGAGAAACATCAAGAGTTTTAGAATCAGATAAAATAATAGGAGGAATAGTAATATAGTGTTTAGATTTATTAAAACAAATTAATTCAAATTTAGAAAATTAAGTTTAAGACAAGCGATATTTGAAGAAAGACATAGAGATAGATTATAAATTAAGTTTAAGACAAGCGATAATTGAAAAAAGACATAGAGATAGATTATGAAGAACAATATTGAAATTAGATGGAAGAAAAGAAGTATAAATAAAGAACCATCAGCATATAGTTGACTAGTGAAAGAAAAATTATTAATAATAGTTCAGAAGTATAGAGTATAAATAGAAGAGGACCAAGAATAGAACCCTGAGGTAACCCAAAAGTAAGAGTAGATAAGTTTGAAGTAGAATTATTGAAAACAGAAGAAAAACAATTTGGGATATAAAAAGAAAACCAAGATAGACAAGAATCAGTAATATTAAATTAAAAAACTACTTTTATTAACGCCAAATAGCGTTAGGGATTGCAGCTCTGTTCAGACATTTATATTATCATTGAAAGCTTGTTATTTTAGCGAAGCTTTTGAATTATTTGGTTTGTGAAATTTTATCAAGGGTGCCTCAGTCGCTTGCATTGGCGCTCGATGAATGACATTATTGAAATATTTGTAACATAGGCAACAGTAAGTTAGAATTTAAAATTTTACTGATAATTTATTGATTGATGTGCAAACATTATTGGCGAAATGACCAGATTGACAATAGATAAGAAGTTACTTACAAGCCCGCCCAACGATGATAAAATTGATAATAATAAATAAAATTTACCATTTATAAAAGATATATAAGGTAGTTATGACTATTAAAACATGAAAAAAAAATAAAAAAAACAAAAAAAATAAAATAAAAGCCAACTAAACAAAAAGATTAGATCGTACAAATTTAACACATTGTAACACGCATAATTAGTGTCCCATTATTTTATACACATAACTGGTTGCAGCTACGGAAGCTACGGACAGTTGGTGCCTCATGTATCAAAAACGACAAAAATGAGATGATTCTTGAACAAGATGAGATCAAGCTACAGTGAAAAGAATATTTCAACCGTCTGTTAAATGAAACAAATCCCATCAATGTCAACTTTGACGCTCCACCCATCGAAGGTCTGATTCCAGACATTAATGTAGAGGAGCTTACAGAAGCTCTGAAAGCTATGAAGAATGGAAAGGCAGCAGGGCCCTCTGGACTCACAAATGACATTATCAAAGCATCTGGTACTGCAGGTATCCAAACGTTACTACAACTTTGCCGTGAAATCTGGAGAAATTGTTCAATGCCGACTGAATGGAACTATAGCATGACAGTCCCGCTATACAAAGGCAAAGGTGATCCATTGAACTGTTCATCGGAGTATACGTCTGTTAGAACAATTCCTGAAATTTGTCGAAAAAATCATTGAGAGAAGATTAACGTCGTTCATCACAATCGGAAATTATCAATTTGGTTTCGTAGCGGGGAAATCAACAATTGATGCAATTCACATCCTTCGGCAACTGCAAGAAAAGTACCTCGCAAAGCATCAACAACTATCACAAACTTTTGTAGACCTTGAAAAAGCATTTGATCGAGTTTCCGTGAAGCAATCAGGTGGAGTCTTCGTCAACAACTCATTCTAGAATATCTTGTTCGACTTGTGATGGAAATGTATACGGTTACTAAGACTCTCGTCAGCACAACGGTTGGAAACACAGATGCATTTGACATCGGCGTTGGAGTTTACCAAGGCTCGATTCTCAGTCCACTGTTATTTGTAACTGCGATGGAAGAAATCACAAAAACCGATACGCACTGGTGACATTTGGAATCTAATATATGCTGATGATATCGTTTTAACAGCCACGTCTGAGCAGAATGCAGTATAGATGTTTGAAGATTGAAACACCAGACTCGCCGATCATGAATTCAAAGTCAACATCAGCAAAACCAAAGCAATGAACACTGGTGGACCCATCCAATCCACAGCTACTAGACGATGGCCGTGTTCAGTTTGTAAAGCTGGTATAGTTAACAATTCAATCAAGTGTCAGCAGTATAACCAGTGGTGTCACAAACGTTGTTCAAAATTAATTGGTACTTTATCTAATGTGTCCGATTTTGTTTGTCCTGTTTGTATCAATCTACAACAACAAATTCAAAATAGCACTGTTTTTGAAGCCATTAAGGTAGAGAAAGTTACATCGTTTCAATATCTAGGGGATGTTCTAGATAGTACTGGAACTGCTGAAGCTGCCGTTCTAGCACGCATACGTGCAGCCTGGAATAAATAGCATCTCTTTGCCTCTATATTGTTGCGACGTGACATCCCACTACCACTACGATCAAGACTTTATAAATCTGTGATACCTCCGGTGTTGTTATATGCTGCAGAAACATGGCCAATGACAACCAAACTGGAACAACAACTTTAACGAAACGACATGAAAATGCTCTGATGGGTGCAACGAATAAGTCTGAAGGACCCCATCTAATTTACCGAAATCCTGCGCCGTGCTGGTTTAGATGATATAAAGAACGAATGCCGGTCACACTGTCTGCGGTGGTTTGTTCATGTCAAAAAAAAAGTGGAAACAGTGCCATAACTTCTCTTACAGATGTTGAAGTACCTGGCACACGTCCCATAGGCCATCCAAAGTAGTTCTGGTCGCAAACAATCGAGCAGGACATGAAAGTTCTAAATTTAATCAAAATGGATACAACTGATCGTCTAATTTGGCGCAAAAAGTTGATGGCAAAGAAAACAACGTCCTACCTTGGAAAACTGGGTCTCTGGACAAAATAGTAGATAGCAAAAAAGCTTTTACTCTCGACAAAAACTTAACGATCGCATAGCTTCCGAAACCGTCACAGGCAGGGTGCCAAAGATTCTCAATGCATTTACCACATTTGGAAAAATATTTGTTGGGTCTTAGTTTGCTAAAGTGCTAAGGAGTGTTATTGGTTTCAAATTCATTGAAAAATTTTCTTTCTGAACTTTTTTTTAAATCAATTATTTCCAAAAACAATTTCTCTCCGTCAACATCGTTATTGTTCTTTTTGGACAATGTTTTCACATGTAGCTTGAGCTCCTCTTCGGTCACAGTTGAATATTTTCTAAGAAACTGAAAATCTTATTTAAGCTGTTAGCTGGTTTGTACCTTTGTATTAGGTGTCCAATGATAATGTGCAATTTAAAAAATGACCAAAAAATGGAGAAAAATGTGAATGAAAAGCATGCCTGCCTTACTAACCATACAAAACACAGCGGATGCATTCATTTGCACTTGTACATTACACTACAATAACACGTTCAGGCAAAATTAGTTTCTCACTGAAGTGAAATTTTGCTTCTGAATATTTTTTAAGAAAATTTGAAAGCTCGGGCCTCTTGAAGGCCCGGCTCCAAATTTCATACTTGGCTGACATAGCCTCTCGGCGACCCCGCTTACAACTTGAGGCATTTGTTCGCGATGGGAAATATAGGAGTTGAATCAAATAAAAACCATAGTATTTTGCATTGCGAATTTTTTGCAACAGAGAATTTCGAACAGAGTTAGCCATTAAATGAATAAATTCATTTTGTATTTGTGGAGACAGATATAAAATATTTTTGTTGTCATCTAAATGTTGCTTCAATAATGTTTAACTATATTTTATATACTTCAAATTTTGCCAATTGTTATAATTTAAGCTTATTATTTTTTAAAGTAAAGTCGGAAAACTTGAAAACGTGCCTTCTTTGTGTTAAAATACTCAAATTGGTGATCGAAAATCATAGAAAAATTAATATAGCGAGTTTTGAAAAAATTTGCATTTAAACAAAAGCATATATTCATTTAGGCGCCCTAATACCAAAGACCACCAAATTATATTTATTTCCAGATCAAATATTTCCAGACTGATATATTTTGGCTAAATCAATAATTTTTATCAAATTTTTTTATATCTTATCTAATTTTGCTTAAATGTTTTTTATAATCTTTGATTAGATGTTATTTTTTATAGAAAAACTTCAAAATGCTCCCAATTCGAAATAGTCCCCTCGCTACGCCACTGAGTGAAACAAGTTAACAGCTTCAATTATTTCGGAAGTCTGATTACCTCAGGTTGTAAATGTGACATGGATATCTAACGAAGGATGATAGGGCGAAAGATGCATATTCTAAAATGAAAAACATTCTCACCATTCGTAAAATCAAAATATCAACAAAATTAAAACTGTAGGGGTATTACATTTTTCCTGTGCTATGAGTTTATAAAAATTTCTAAAGAAATTGAAAAAAGATTAACTCTGCTGAGATGTGGTTTTTGAGAAAAATTATGAAAATTGGTCGGGACCTCTCATACTTCGAATGAGGATGTATTAAAATAGTCCGGTTATCAATAGACGAAATTAATACAGATAATCCAGCAGAGGCAGTTAAAGTTTTTAAGTCACATCATGGGGAAGGAAAGAAGGGAAAATCTACTGGAAAGATTGCAGGGAAAAAAGATCGCGGTCAACAACGAATAACATTCGTGAAGTCCTTTTGTCACTTTTTGAATATCACCACATTTCAACTACTATAAAATGATAAAGATTAGGTTTTGTGTAGGTCGATGGTCGCCAATATCCTGAAAGGTACCTTAGTACAAGAATGAAAAAATAACTATGCTTTTCTTATATTATGTTTTTTTTGTATACATTGTTCAATGTACATAAATAGAATAAAATGAAAATATAGAATATAAAATATAGAAAGATAGTATTTATAG